TGCAGTTTGTACCCCTCCGCCGCAGCCCCTTCCCCCTTCCTTCCCACCAACTTCGAAATCAGGGCGCGTGACGAGCGCCCCACCTTTGCATGGTTTCTTCAAAATCACACACACATTCATCTTTCCAAAAAGTGTGTTGTTGTGGGGATGACGCATAGCTCTGTACCGGAGAGGACTGCTGACGTTTCAAAGTGTTTCCCAAGGAGCTGAAACTGCATCTTGTGACTTTTCTCATCTTCTCTCATCATTTCCATCATGCCTGCTGAGCAGCAGGTTGTGCACAAGTTAATAAAAATTGCTCTCTCAGAGTAAAACATAATTTCAGTCATGCATCGCACTTAATTTTCTCTTAAACCAAGCTTTCTGTCCTTACACAATGTTACATGCATATGATGCAGAGGCGGAGCTTGTGGGTGGCTTCAGGGGCTCCAGCCCCAAATGTTTCCTCAAAAGCCCCAAAATCTCTTGGGTTTTTAAAATACCTTTAACTTTGGGTCATTCAGATAATCTGATATACCCATGTTGTTTATTTAACTATGCTAATCCCTAAAGAAATTTCATGTTATTGAGTAAATATTCTTGTTTGCCTCATATTTTATTCAGAGTATTGAACACATTTATGTTGGGGACCAGATTATTACAGCATTCAGTTCAATTTAAATCAATAGAACTTTAATCATGCCAAATTCTTGTGCCAGCGAATCCTTCAAATTACACTAACACTAAGTACAGTAACCACAATTTTAACGATTCACAACCATAACAACCAGACAACCAGTTGGTTCTCCAGGTCAGGATCACTCACTTGGCCCAATTTTAGAACAACTGAGTATTAAATATTTGGCAAAAATATACAAATATACGAGATAGAAGTGTTTTCAAGGAGCAGAAGCAAAAAACAGTGCCTAATAGAGTAACAATAGGAGTAAGATAAGTAAACTTACTAAAAATGACCTGAAATTGTGGAAAAAACTAAAATGATGAAAAAAAACAGTGTGTGTCTGATAATCAATGTTATATTGAATAGATATAACAATGAGAAGTAGTATTGCACATCACTGAGAAAATTAAATTACACTACACTGACAGCTGATCATGATATTAAAGAATATTGCACATGATGTTGATGTTGAACATACAATAGTATTGTGCCTCATATTAAGTAATAGTGCACCTAATCTTGGTGAATTTTTGTCAGTGTCCTTTGTTTCAGCTCTCCTCCCTATAGGAGTGGGAGGAGTTACACAGTTTGATGGCCACAGGTAGAAAAGATCACCTATGGCGTTCTGTAGTGCTCCTCGTGGTCTCAGTCTGTCTTAAACACTGATTATGTGAACTCTACTCTTAACACCTCTTGAATGTGTATACTTATTAAACAGACAATGCACATAATTGTACATACTTTTTTTGTTTATTCTTATTCTTGTCTTTATTCTGTTGATGTACATATTGTAGTAACCATTATAGCACTAGATTAGACAGGGAAATGTAGCACAGTGCACATATTTATATATTTTTACACACTTATAGACCCAGCACGGTGAAGATGTATATTTTATTCCTGCTATCTGAAGTACTAGTGTTAACATTGTTGCATTATACACATTTTTATTTCTATTTTATTAAATAATTACGTGATATTTACATACTCTTATTTCTCTCTTATTCATTTCTGATTCTGATTCATAGTGTAACAAATGTAAGTGTCAAGATTAGTTTCTGCCAAATTTCTGCCCTACCTATGTTATGTAACATAAAAATAGTAACATCAGACAATTTTTGCCACTTTTTAGGGTGCAATAATCAAAATTAGTCATCTTTAACATTTGTTGTTTTTTGCTTTTAGAACAAAGAGAATAATTAGATATAAAACAGGATGTAGGCTTTACAAGAAGATTTTTTTCCTTGGCAACTATCATGTTTTTCCCAAACAATGTACATATTTTTTGGCGTTCTGTTATCTCAAATGGTTGGAAAAATAGTGCATATAGCTGCTGTAAATGGGGGGGAAAGTGCCCCCAGACCCTCTAAGTCAATGGTTCCCAACTGGTGGGTTGAGTCCAAAAGTGGGTCGTGGGTCCATTTGTGATTTGTGAATGTGTCAAGTTTGTAAAAAAAAAAAAAAAAAAAAACTAAAAAAAAGCCACCTTATTTTGAAGTACAGTGAATTTCCAGCACAGAGCTTTTATTTTGAAGTGCCATTTCCCGCTGTCAAGTGAGTAACTAACGGACAGCGACTTGATAGATGGTTCTTCTCAAAATTAAGGAAGAATAATTGAAGGCATTTGAATTGAATTGAACTTTAATTTCAAGGACACTACGTCATCGAGTCATGCCGAAGGACAGTTCCAATGTCAAGGGTTCATCGAAATCTACTAAGGACAGAGTCTTTCATTCAGAGAGTTCTCAAGGATTCATGTGTGTATCCTCAGCAGGCATAAAGTAAAGTGTGTTCCAATGTGTGCTCACTGAATGCTAGGAAGGAGTCTTACCTGGCCTCTGTAGGGCCTGACTTGGAAGGACCCATCCTACCAAGTACGCATCCTTGACTTTGAGAGGCACTAAGAGACAGCAAACTAGCTCGACGACATGACCAAATGCAGGTACGGAGCTGAATGTATTAAACTGTGTGGACCTTGACCTAATGACTAACACCATGGCTGGACCAGTTGGGAACCACTGCTCTAAGTTTGGGCTGAGCCCTGAATGTTTACAATGTCTGGCTCCACCCCTGACATGATGAGACTCTATGGTCACATTTTTACATATGGAAAACAGTGTCAAATGCATTGTTTAAGAGTCATAATCTTTAAGACCTGTCAGCTGTCAGTTTGCGGTTGGTCTGAAAATGACTTCCTTTAAAAACCAACAAAGGCCTTTAGACTACTGATGATGAGCCAGTGTTACATACAGGATGTGGACAGAGCAGAAATCATCTGAAATCAAAAAGCTACTGTTCCAAAGGATCTGACTCATACAATACAGTTTGAACTTCCTCAAATGATAACTGTGGTTGAGTTTTGTACTAAAGGGCAGAATTAGGTGCTGTAGAGACATTTATGATCACCCCGGAAAGTCACAAGTTTATACTATCGATACACAGAAAGTTGTAACACGTTATTAAAAAAACTCATTGTATTTACAGTCAGATTAAGTTTATTTATAAGACTAATAAAGCAGAGGATACATTAAGTCCCCTTATTTACCCAGTGATAAACCAGTGGCAATACATCACCATGACATTCTAATTTATTAATCATATTTCTGAATGAAAATCTCTAACTCGGGGCGTTCTTCTGGCTTTAAGATGCTCACCATGTAATTGAAATGTTCAGCCAGGAATTTCTGCTGCATGCCATCTCCCACATCTCCCTCCCTTCATTTCCTGTCTCTGTTTGCACTGCCTAATAAAGGCAACATGCCCCCAAAAACTATGAAATAAAAACTACAACCTAAAATAGAGATGAGACTTCATTGCTACTTTAAAGTGACTCTGCAAGATATAGATGGTGAGCTGCTGTGCTGTATGATGCAGATCATGCAATGTTGCTGGGGTTCAGGATCTTCAGATGATATTAGTTTTGATCCCAGCAGTAATCCTGTAACAGTGCTACAAGATGCACACCCACCTGCCAAATTACACCGGCTCCAGGAAGTTATTTAGTACTCATTTACACCAGCGGCCCATGCAAATAGAGTTACAGTTGAACGAGATTCTGCACTTTGAGCCTCACTGAAATCTACCGCGCGATTAGACGACTTTAAACTGTGTTATTCAAAACACAAGTCAGCCCTAAACATGATGATGCTCGCTCTGTTTGTGTTTTGATTAGTTTCAGGCAGGTTATAGCCACACTTTGACTTCTACTGATTATTTTTCAAGGTGGAAGACTTGCTGGCCCACTTAATGAGCTGTCAGATTTAATTTTCAATTAAACTGTATTTATAAAGCCCAATATCACAAATCACTATTTGCCTCAGAGGGCTTTACAGCATACAACATCCCTCTGTCCTTGGACCTTCAAGGCAGATAAGGAAAAACTATCAGGCTCAGGATTGGTAGATTGGGCACTAGAAGGTGGTTTCACTTTGACAGGAAGCAAGTGTAACCAGCAGCGTCTGGTCAGGGGTCACTGAGAGGCAGTTCACATGGACACACACACACACACACACACACACACACAGCTCCGTGTCTCAATTATAGCCTCAAACTCTCAGCTCACTGATGAAGATCCACCACAAGTCGAGGCTTGACAACAGAGGAGGTTTGAATATACTCAAAGGACTTCAACAAGCATCGACCATTCACAATGTACTAAATCCTCCAAATCAGCGATACTTAACTTACGGCCTCAGGGCCAAATTTGGCCCACGACAGGGTGCCAGATGGCTTGCCAACCATTTTCTAATTCAAAATGAAAATAAATTGATTTACACTTTTTTTTTGTACTTTAAATGTAATAATAATGTAAAATGTAAAAATGGTGGCAGGGGAGGATCTCACAGACAGAGGTCCAGGCTGTTCATTTATATACTAATTTTTCATGTTTGTTTATTAAATCGCCCCTGGCCTCCTGTAATTTTGCAAAAGTGGTTCCCAGGCAAGTTGAGTGTCCCTGATCTAAACCACACACACCACAGGAAGTCAAATAAATGCCGTGGTTCCGGTTAACTGATGGTTACCGATCAACAACAGGAACTAAAGGGAACTGTTGTAAAACAAATACAATTAAATAATGTAAAGCAGGAACATTTTGACTTTATATTGCACAATATCTACAATATTGCACTGACAAGGACGCCTGTAACACACAATGTATATTTAAAATCAAAGTAATCAAACTAAACTAAACTTCGAAAGAAAAATACACCCCAAACCTGTACTTGTGACTAAAATGACTAATTCATAGAAACATTTATCTCAACAGTTCATCACACATGACTTCACAGTGATAATGAAAACAAGCAGAAGGCACAAAGTGATGAAGATTGCTGCACACTGGAAGGCTTTTGTGGTGTGGTTTCATATCTTTTAACAGCAGAAATACACAGTTTGTATGATTAAGAGTCAGCAATACAGTCAACTGATAGCAACATCATCACTTCTTCATCCAAAGGCAGAAACATCCAGGCTAAATGACTGTTACAGTAATACAGTGACACATTTTCCTTTTCAGTAAAGAGCAGTTAACCTTGTGCAGTCGTTGCTGAAATGATGACAGAGCAGGAAAATCACTTTGTCAAACTTTAAGTTTATGCTGTTGTCAGCCGAGTTAAACCGTTGGAGCAACTGTTTGTGACATTTACGTAATCTCTGCTAATATTTCAGTGCATTAAAATTTTGGATGGTCTATATCAATCTATAAACAAAATAAAGAAACAGTGCTTTTAGCTGTATGACTGATTTCATTTCTGAGTTGTAGTTACACTTTTGTGACACACAGTAAACTTTCAAACTGTGCAGTTATCCTCAAATAACCCACATGAGTACAGTGTGAGAGAAGCTCCTAGTCGTGTGGTTTAAGGCCGTGCAGGGTGGGTTAAATACGCTGTGTGCTTGGCCTGGCTCTTGCTGTCTATCAAAAGCAGCTGGTTATTCTTGTGGTGAGAAATCATCTCGTTGAGGGTGCCAAAAATCTGAGAGGGAGAGAAAGATAAAGGGAGAGAGGTGATTAAATGAAAAGTCTGAAATTCTTCCAGAATCCTGTCGTCTCCCTTATGTCTCTCTATCTAATTTGCCCTCACCTCTTCATTCTTCTTGCCCTCTTTTCCAAGGGCGTAACCTTGTGTGTCCCCCAGGAAGCGGATAGGAATGTTGTACACCTTCTGCTGGTAGAGCACAGCGAGGGTGTACGGCTGTCGGGTGCTTTGGGCTGAGCTGTGTCGGATGAGAAAGGCACCGTCCTACAATGAGGAAAAAGAGGAAAATCTGAGACTGACACACAGAATCAGGAAAAAATAACACATTTAGTAGGGTTTGATAGGAGATTGTGGGCTAACAGAGAACAAGTAAGTAAAAATAAAATGGTTAAAAAATTGAGGTCGCTACACAGTATGCAGAGTAAGTGGCGGTAATGGAAAGAAAATCACAGTTATGGAAGCCCTGAAGGTGTCTGACTCAGATGGCTTTTATTCGAGAGTCAGCAAAAACATGCACTCAGCAGATTTTCCTATTGTCTGTGCAACACCCTCGCCGTAAGCCCTTGTATTTGCTTGGTTGACTCTCCCATCATTAAGTGATTATTATACCACTAAATGAAACATAAAACTGTTTGGCTGACCTTGTTGACCCTCAGTAAGAGATCTTCAGCTGCCTTTCTGTTGCAGTCTCCAGCAAACCATTCTTTGTCCTGTAATGGGTTAGAAACAGAAATGAAAGTGTGTAATACACATCAGAGATTTAAAAAACTATTTAAACAGAAGATGATTAACAAATCTAAAACTGAAGTATGAACACCAAAGTGTACATGGAATGTGTTTGGTATTTTTGGGTAGACATATGCCTATATAATGTATATATACTTAGTTTCTGTCAACTAAACTAAACTAATATGACATACATGTATCAACAACAGTAAACCACTAACGTGTGTTAGATTTTCTGTGTGCAGATTGATACCATACCTCATTCCCAGATTGTTTGGTTGCCCTCACACCACCAGAGGAGGCTTACAACAGACAGAAAACATGTCATGTGTTTTTCCAGGTTTGGGAAATCCGTACTTGGCATCAGCCAGATGGTTAAAAAGACATATGATTCATGCGATGTTTGGATTACTTTAAAAGAAGAATTTAAGCAGACCTCAAGTGATCACAGTCATCCCTCAGGATTAATAAAAAAAAAATAACTTTTTGGGGAACAAAAAGTGAGCTTACCCACAAGCTTAGTGTCTGACATAGGAGGATTCAGAGGGCTGGAGAAAAGACAAGAAGGCTAATGTTATACAGTGAATTTAATTCTGATATAAGTGTGCACTTTCAGATGAGGTTAACTGCAAAAAAAAAGCTGGAAATTAATTGAAATTTTTCTTTATAAATGGATATGTCACCCATAAAATGACCCTTTTATTTGTGAGTTATTCCTGCTGTGTTACCTTAAATCTGTGAAAAAAAATATCTCTGTTTTAAATATCTCTGTTTTTCTGGCATGCCTCTGGTGAACGAAGAATCCCAAATCCACGAGTTGTGTAAGAGTTTGTAAACAGATGTTTTGATATAGTTTGCTGTTGTTCAACGTGGTCCCAGTTTACTTCCATTAATAAATGTTTGCCGTTTTTGGATTCTTCGTTCACCAGGGCATCCTTAAGAAATCAACATGAATAATGTAATGTATAAATGGCGATTTGTAGGTGACATATTCCTTTGGTGCTTTTAATTGATCTAACAAACCTCTCACCCTATTACCTGGGTTTGGCTTCCTTCAGGTTTGCTGGCAGAGGGGGCTTAAAACTGGGGGTTGGTGGAGGGGGTTTGGTAGGAAATGTGGTACGTCTTACTTCAGCTGAAGGAGCTATAGAGACAAGATATGATCATGATCAAAATAATTACTTTTGGATGTGGTTTGTACTGATATTTGATAAGTTTTAACGAGCAGAGAACGTGATCTTTACCCATTTTTAGCTCATTTAAGGAGGGCAAGAATGAATTCTGAAAAAAGGGAAATAAGAGTTACTGCTGTGTCACACTGGTGAGTTTAATTTCCTACGAAGGAAATGGAAACAGAGTAAGAATGAAAACTTCCACTTCTAATTCAGCCTCTATCTTGACAGTCTTACTTTAAATGAGGACCGAGCTTAGCATAAGGAAGTGATAAAACTAAGCACTGAGATGAATAGACAGACTCACAGACTGAGCTCTGGGAACCGGAGGCTTCTTCCTGCAGATTAGAGAGAATGTTAATTTTCATTACATGTTTAGTACCAGGAATTTACTGTGTAGTGCCACTAATATATCTGACACATTTGCATTTTGCTGCAAAAGCACAGCAGCATCATTGTCTGGTGTGACATGGAGTACGAAGCTATGCAGATAGATTATATTACTGGTTAGCGCATATCAGCATGCTATGGTTAGGCAGTAGTTTGAAAGCTGCTTTGATCCGGGTTGACATGCACTTACACGGAAATGGGAGAGGGTACAAGGGCTGTCTTGGGAGATGGAGACATCCTTATTGGCCCACGAGAGGGAGGAGGGCAAGCTGAGGAGCGGGAGGAAAGGAAATTATCATTTTTATTGGACTTTTCATCATGTGGAAAAGAAATGTGCTGTCTGATCATCACTCAGATCAAAATCTGTTCATAAAAACATAAACTCCAGAGCTAGTTCTTGTGAGGTGTGATGCAACCCACCAGCTGTAGGCTCTAAATACAGGTCGTCATTATCTTCCTGAAACACAAAATGACAAAAACATAATACACAGGAATATACATATTTATAAACATGGAGAAATGTGCCAACAGCTGGTCGAGCTTTCCTGTGGATGCCCACTAATGAAGCGTAGCATCACAGTTGCATTAGTTTCATTCATGCTTCATAATGACTGGCTCATTCATACAGTAGCTATGTGGCTGGTAGCATCCAATCATATTAATGTGAACAGCATGGCCATTATAACCCGTTATACCCACTCTCATACAAGGCCCTTTGCTGCCTCCTCTTTATGTGTGAAGTTTTGGGTAATGTGATTTATCTATCATATCATACCTGTTCTTCATTTGGATCCAGATACACATCTGAAAAGCAGAGAGAAAATACTGGCAGTGAGCTGTGTTGTTGTGGTGTAATACAAGCCTCTGGTGATGGTGCATGACCCCCAAAAGCTTTTGTAAGTGACCACAGTATGAGAAAGAGTTAAAAGGACAGTTCGCCCCAAACTCAGATCTTCCCAGAAATTATGACCCAGTTACTAAAGATAATCCACAGACTTTGTTGTGAATAGTTTCATGTAGGAACTATTTTCTTTCTACTAAACTACACCCCTAACTGCATCACTGCACAAAAGGAAATGTGCGTCTGCCCTTGGATGAGGGGCTTGTGCCCCGGACAGCATGAGATGTAAACATTAATGGCGTCCACCTTGTCTAACCTGTAAAGCTGGCTAGCTCAGTGGTGCTAGGTGAGCTAGCAGTAGATGCACATTTCCTTCTGCGCAGTGATATGTTTGCTGGGTGTAGTTTGGTAGAAAGAAAATAAGTCCTACATGAAACTGCTCACAACCAAGGGACAACCTCCAAGGTAAAAATAAATCTAATGCGGAAGTGCCAAAAACTGCAGTTCCTCTAATGGCACCCTGGGGGCTTTTTGGGATTTTTATATAACTCATCAGTTTACACTTTATGAAGGCTTAAAATTCCACATATTCAAGGGCGAGGCTGCTTGAGTGACAGTCTGTATGCAAGGTGTCACTATGGCCTATGAGTCAGACTGACCCCTCGTTCTTCCACAGCGCCAGTCTCTCATCCATTTATGGTCTCCAAAAATCCAAAGGAGATGGCTGACATGTTGAACTGAAGGCTTCAAAACATCAGAACATTCAAAGTCCACAAAGCAATAGGTTATGTCACGGTAGCTACGTCCATTATGTTACACAATCTATGCTCACGACAGGGTCTGTGGATTATCTTGAGTGACCAGGGAAATTACAGTTGAGTTTTTCAAAAGTATTTTTATTTATATATTTATTCATTTATTTGGCACTTTCAGCACCACAAGCTGAGTGCCATCTAGTTCCAAAATATTTGAGAGAAGTCATTCATCTCTACGGCTGATATTTCCAACACTCGGCAACTCACATACAGTGACATACAGTCAAATAGAGGTGACCAGAGAATAATCACAGGTGGAGGCATTTAATGCAATGTAAAAGGGAAAAAAGTAGACTTTAAGAACACATAATTAGACAGAACTGGAGAAGACTAAACATTTTGTGATAACTCAGCAGAAGTGCTAATTTTCTGTGTTATTGTGGAGATGTGATGTATTGATGGGGCAGAAGGCAAAGAAGTAGAAGAAGACTTAGGTGGAGCAGGTAACTGAGAGTTTCTTCAGATCTAATAATAATTTTTATCCTCTTGTTTTCTTCACTGCGGCAATAGGAAATGATTCAGGTATTCATAAATGTGTAATAGAGGGATTTCTACAAGCAGTTGCAACAGTGGGACACTGAGAAAAATTCAAGCAGATGATCCCAGTTTGCTCATGACCATCAAGATGTGGACAATTAGGCAACACTACAGAGGGCGGAAATAATCTTCTAGTGAGGTGACACAATACGACAAGTTCCTTCCCTTTTAAATGTCTTAATATTGGAAACATTTTGCTGCAGTGTGATGCATGCTTGGTGTTCTTGCGAATCACTCTGCAAATGAGTCTGAGACGCTGAGGGTGCAGCTCAGTGGCACTACACCAGGTGGCACTCTCATCCTTGTTTCAGTCACAGCTTCAGTCTCTGCTGAACTGCTCAGTTCTGCTTGTGTTTATTTATTCCAAACAAACTGTTGTTGCTGCTGTAAACATTAAACAAAATTCTTGATTGTGCACCATGAAGATTTTTCCCTGGGAGAGCTCAATGAGACAACAGGTGTGCAGCAACAATGCAAAGTCTTCCGTGGTATGGGCTTATCAAATGACTGTATTTCTGTCAATAGCACATGACTAATAAAAACAAATATTTATTTAAGTATATGTGGGTGCCATGTCACCTTCTTAATACATTTAACTTCCCCTCAGTCAACAGTTATTTACAGGCTGATGAACCACTTCTATGAAAAGCTTATTAGTGTTGATGGAAATGATTACTGCACCTTCCTCAGTGTTGGATGCAGGGACTGGAGCTGGAGCAGAGGGGACCGGTGGAGGAGGCATCAGTTTTCTCCCAGGCTTCTCACTTCTGTCTATCTCAGGTGCTAAACAAATGCAGGTTAAAGAGATTAAGAGAGGTGGGTTAAACAATGAATGAACAAAATCAGCAAATGCATTGTTTGTGTAGCTGCAACGAACACAGATGACTGACTCACGTTTCTTAGTTTTGGGATCATGGAAGAAATCCTCAGAACGTGGTTGAGGTTTCTGGATAAAAGATCATTTAATTAAAACAAATGCAGCATCTTTTAACATAGTGTAAACATCTTCGACTGATTCAGAGACACGTAGACAGACTTCCAGGACACTAAACTGTTGTTACCAAGGGATTGACTGGTCTGGGTGGTGGAGGAGCAGCCTGCCTCTGTGGAGGAGAAGGATTGGATGTCCTCTCTGCAAAAAGTAGCATCAAATTGTCAGAGTTCTCTATGTTGGATGTTTTATACTCTACCCTATCTGCAGTAAAAACTCAGCACAGAGCTGTTACCCAGATAAACGTTTTCCTCCACTTGTCTCTGTGGGACTTTCACAGCCGGACGCTCACAGGGAGGCACTTCATACATGTCACCTTCCTCATCATCCTGCCATTAGAAGATATAAAGTATAACTATTTCAAAGGTGCATTTTCAAGAATAGCCATCACCACACAAATACTGAGACATTCAGTTTCAGTTCAATGAAACCATAGCAAACAAGACCGGAAGCCTCATGTCTGCACTTTACCATACATTGTGTGCAACAGCATGAAACTATGCAGGAAATCTGCCGGAGTCATATATCAGTAACATCGCTTTGGTTGATGAGTAACAGGCCAATGGAAAAATTATATTGTGTTATATTTGGATTAAAAAAAGTAGTCACACAACATGTATTGTCATAGAGAGGAGGATGGACAGTAATGAGATAGAACAGACCAAAAAAAGATGCAACAGAGCTGATGGGAAATGTGGTGACGAAGTCATAAGAACGAGTAAAAGATGTTTGGAGAGGACCTGTTGTGCTTATTTTCAGGTTCATTCTTGGATTTTGTGTTTCTACTAGAACACGTTTACACGCTTCAATAGTCAAAAAACACTTTATTTTCCTTATACTGTCTGTGCTGGAACACCTGTATCCACCCTCTGTCTGAAACGCTCCGTTTTAGCGCCTGTCTCTTTAAGCTACCCTCTTGAAAAAAACAACCCATCTGCTCTGACTGGTCAGAGTTTCCAGGTCTTCAGTGTCTTGGCATCTCTGTACTGTCACTGACAGCCTGGGAATGACTGACATAGAGAATAGCAGACCTTTTTAACACTTCGAAAAGGCCTCTGATCTTAACTGGACATGTTCCAGCAGGATTTCGATGCAAACCCTGGGAGAAATTAACAACCTCAACAACCAGGATTACATGTTTCCATGATGTTAGCATGTAGCTTCATTTAGCAGTGCAGGCTACAGAGCGTAAACACTTGCAGGAGATAGAAATTCAGCACACCATAATGTCATACTGTAGACAGTGTGTGTGTGTGTGTGTGTGTGTGTGCGTGTGTGTGTGTGTGGAGTTTTCCGAATGGTAGGTAGGACACCTGAGGTTTTATGCTCACAAGGATCACCTCTTCATTTGTTTACCTAATTATTTGAATGTTTGACCACATGTAATGTGAACATCCTTCACTGTAACGTTATAAGAATACGGAATACGGAAACGCATAGGTCCCCTTTAATAATGCTACATGTAGCACCTTTAATTCAGGAGCTTGTTGTTTTTCTACTTACAAATTCATCCTTTGGCCACGCAAACTCTGCATTGTTATCTGTGGAAAAAGACATTTGTAGGTAATTAAGTCTGTAATAGAGTGTGAAACAAAGAGAAATGAAAACATTTTCCCGTAGGTGAGTTTAAATCTTACCTGTCCTCCTGGGTGGAGCTGGAGGTCCACTGTGTCTGACGGAAATAATGAGAGGTAAGATGCTGCAGTACTGTTTTATTTCATCTATAATACATTAACAGCGGCACTAATGAGACTTAGCTAATGAGCACAACACTTACAGGTTCTTCAGTTTTCCAAAGAAGGTCTGAAAAACACAAAAGCCTCAAGTGAGTATCCAGAGATTTAACAAATACAAAACAAACTAAACTGCATACCAGGCTAGTAATCATTTACTTTTAGTTATTTATCAGCCTCATCATCAGGCCTGAGTCAGTGGCTGCTTTTCTGGGAAGGTCATGCATTGCACAAAGGGGCTTTTTTTAGTAAGCAAGGTGATAAAAAACAAGGTATAAGTACAAGTTAATTCACAATCAATGCTGCTTTGAAGCATTGATTCACGGACATTATCAGCTGAAACAGAAAAGTTCATTAGCAGGGATGTACAGTAGCAGTTGACAGAGGAGGAGGAGATAAACACACACATCAAACAAAATCAGGAAGCGGTATCTGTTTTCCCACAGTGCCAGGCAGCCATAGAGGAAGTGTTGATGTCAAGGTAATTACTGTAGGCGGACAGACTGCAGAGTTTCTATCTCCCACACAAAATGTCAGAAAACTGTTGTTTAGTGTTGATAAATGAGGAGCAGGTGCGAGGTAATAAAAAAAGAATGAAGAGAACTACGTTACTGTGCTGTTGCAGTATTTACAACCTTGAACTCTCACAGTCATTCCAAAAATAGCTGCATGTTAATGTTCTGCTTTGTGTCAACCTGCTGTGAATTCTCTCTGATGAACCACCTGTAAAGTCTCACAGAAAAGTGTTATCAGCAAGCTGAGTGAGGAGGCCAACAGGAGGAAAAAGGAAGAAGTCACGTTACCATGAAGTGAAATCTGATGCAAACAAGGACAAGACTCACAGAGCATCATTCAAATGTTCACTATTCAGACAATAGAAGTAGTGTATCTGGGAGATCACAAACACTTGTATTAGATATTAACAAAATAACCAGCTGCAGTACTATAGTTACGAACTGTTATACTTGAGAAGAGAGGAAGCTATTATATAATAATATGCATGCTGAATATCAGTTATTAAACTCCACAGCAGATGTAAGGAAAGTATTCATAACTAATAGTCTACAGTATTTTTCTGTTTTTGGTTAAGCTGGCCAAACACTGTGTACCTTAAACATGTATTTCCATTGACAGATAAATATTCATAGGGGGAGGATTGTGTTTGCAATGTCCACACTAGTTTTAATGTATTCACACATCTTAGAATGGATCTTACCGATACTGTTTGAATTTGTTTTCAACATGTGAAAGTGCAGGGAACGCCTCTAGCCACGAAACATTTTATCTACATGAACTGTTGACACTAGACAAGGAGAATTTGAACCCGTATCAGACCAGCCAAAAGGCTCACAAGAAACCGTAGGCTGTTTTTTTAAGATTTGTGTCTTCAGAACCCCTCAGAGAATACAACTCTGTAGGCAGACATCACTTATACAAAATGATATCTGTGTTATGTTACAAAAAAAGGTAGAGAGTGAAAACTATCCGAGCAAACACGTTCAGACGTATTCTCAAGGGGTTTTTTTGTGACTCAGTGGAATCTCTTTCAGGGCCCCTGACAAATTTGGGAACATTCGCATGAGACTAAATAATCAAACGTCCAGTGTGTGTGGTTTAGGATATATTAGTCAAAATGGAAAATAAAAGCATGTTTTCATGAGTGTATGATCACCTGAAAATAGAAACTGTAGTGTTTTTGTTTCTCATAGAATGAGTCATTTATATCTGCATAGAGATCAGGTCCTTGTCTAGGGAGTCCACCATGTGTCACCGCCATGTTTCTAAAGTAGCCTAGAGTGTACATCCCAAACACTGGCTCTAGATAGGGCCATTCATGTTTTCGCATTTTCCCCTTTTGCATTGGCCACCGTAGTTAGCAGCCCATTCACAACGAGTGTGTCGGAAAAACACTTTTTTTCCCCGTGAAATTGCTGCTTCAGTGTTTATACTGGTTTAAATCATGGGGTTCGTTTGTTTTGGGAAGGAATTTTACTCCTGGTAAAAACCTCCTTAATAATGAACACTGAAGAAATTCCATCCAGGAGAAGTTTCAGCTGGGTGCAATGTGCTCTTTTTGCCACTAGATGCCACTAAATCCCCCTAAATCTTACACAGTGTTCCTGTAAAACTATTAAAAATTACCACCAGCAGCATTAAAAGTTAAAATAAACAAACTCCGCTCAGAATTTTTGATATCAGTAAGTACATCTTTCCCTGCCTGAAACATTTCTAACACCATCTCTGAGTGAACAACAACACCTTTTTTAACTCCTGCATGGTCATGTTTACTGAGAAAGAGTCTGAAATGCACTATGGGCAAGTGACAGCAACACGTACACTACACAAATAACAATGTAGTTCAAGCTAACTATGAAGCTTGAGATGCTAAATGCAAGTATTTAGAAGTGAAAGTATTTGGTTGACCTGAAACAAATAATATATGTATGTTTTTGTTGTTAGATTTTGAATTTACTTGAATATGATACATTTTAGGTATATTTAAAATAAAAAAAAAACATAATACTTCAGAGAAACTTCAAAAATAGCTCCTGTATCAATTGTGATTCAGTTTTGTCATGGAAATTGTAGTAAATTCCACTGAAACATGTTTGATTTAAATCTAATTAATTTAACTTAAAGTCAACTAAGAAACTGATTTTATGGAAGACTGTTAACAAACATGAAAGATAGTTTAGCAAATATCTTTGACCTTTATTCTAGAGTAGAGCACGTTGCTGATATCTGTGGGTGTATCACTTTTAGGTTTTGTGCAAACACAAGTCATCCGAGTTATTTTTAGTGTTTGCTTTCATACTCTCACACGATCACAACTTTTAACAAAGTATCTGCCATCATATGGTTCCCCTATTCAGAACTGCCCGAGAGAAAAAGAAATAAACATGGAAGGTTTACAGAGGGCTAACGTTACTACAACTCTGCCATTGACAACAACTGCTCACTTCCTTCTCACTCCACCCAAAGCTGTCAGAATGTGAACCAAAATATGACAAAAACAAAACAGTACTTTACCATTGTCATGATTTGGGGTCAAGTCTCGCAGCTCAAGTCATGAGGAAATGTCTTTATTTCGGTCCTTGGATGCAAATGGTTTTGAAGATTGAAAGTGAGCGATACAGAGAGAATGTGAAGATCAGCTCTAACTGATCTCATTTGCATTTCCTACCTGTGTCACACAGACAGCCTCACCTGCTGCTGGACTGTCTGCCTTTAAAAGAGCTGCAGGCTGCACAGCTCAAACATGACTCCAAATTTCCCTACTGTAAACTGCCTATGGTCGTATAACAAACTGAATTTTATATCATTTGCAGCTACTGGTAAATAACATCCCCTTTGTGCTCCATCTGCAATCAGAAGGGGAAATTAATGATTAACTTTTGATACACATGCATGCCATTAATGAGGCTCAGTAAACTAAGCTGTCACTGAGAAGGAAACACACAAAAACTGCAAGAAGTGAACATTAATAACATTACAGTGTGTCCAGAGCATGTTCAAAATGCAACTATCTTTTATTTGGCACACCTAACTACAATATAACAAAAATAACAACATCAAGACCTGCAGCCTCAAATATGATCACAGAGTTGAGTCAACACATCTTTAAAAGTTTCAACTGGACATCAAAACCATCATAAAAGAAAGATTTATTGCAGGACTGTTGTTTTTGACTGCATTAGGTTTGGCTGGATGTACCTAATAAACTGGCACCTGATGTTCTCTTTTTGACAGCAAGGCAGCTTCTTATTTATCTCTGGACAATTTTAATGCTGAAGTAAAGGTGAAAGTATCTGTATAGTGTATTTTTTTTCAAGGATTAATATCTAACTTGTACAAAGCTATGTGCACATTATCACATGGTATCCATATTTTAACATAATTTGTATAGTTTTTTTTACCTTTACACCAACTCTCAAGATAAGAAACCTGACTCCACTTGTTGTCCAGAATAATTGATAATTAAGAAAACTTGTGTCATGTATACACACTATAGAAGAAAATAGACAGGAAACTTAAAGGTCCAGTTTGTAGGATTTAGGGGGATATATTGATAGAAATTGAAATTAATAGAATAAGTATGATTCCTTTAGTGAACAATTACCTGAAATTAAGAATCGCTGTGTTTTGTTACCTTAGACTGAGCCTTAGGGAGTGGGTCCTCGTGTCCAGAGATTACCATATTTCACTGCTTTTCTTCTACAGTAGCCCAGAATGGACAAACAAAACACTGGCTCTAGATAGGGTCATTTGCATTTTTCCGTTTTCCCATAACGAGAGAGTTGGAAAAACTCAATTTTTTAAAACATGAAACTGCTTTATTCAGTGTTTTCACTGGTTTTAATCACCTGGTCTGTTTGTTTTGGAGAGGAAGAGACCTCTACAGATAATTCAGCCCCTGTTAAAAATCTCCTGAGCAAAGAACACTGAGGGAATTCTAATTGGGTGAAGTTTAAGCTGGTTGCAATTTGCAATCCTTATGACTAGGTGCCAATAAATTCCCTTAAATCTTACACACTGGACCTTCAAGTTGCCAGAACACAACAAACGAAAAAAGGCCAAAAATAAAGATTAAAAAAGCCAAGTGTTTCATATGACATCCATCATTGTACCTCTTGTGAAATGATATTAAGGAAGGGGATCCCCTTAATTAAATCAGCCTTTCATTCAAGGCCAAGAATAGTCCCTGAACTTTTTTAAAGACATTCTCTTTCCCTGACATTTAATATGTCAGCCTCTCATTTGATGCCATTTTACACAGTTGTACCATCCATTCATTGAAGCTAATAACACTGACTGATATCCTGTTCTTAAAGTCACTCTGCACTATGTTACTGTGGCCAATAAGCCAAAGTCTCTGGTGTTTATCAGTGTCTTGGGCTCCAGTACTAAAGCAAGTATGCACAGGGCTGGGTTCTAACTTAATTAGTTGTACTTTTAAGATCTTACTTATAAAAATAACAAGCTCATAACTTACTTTTTGTCACTGTTATGCACTAAAGTACCTGTAGCTTCCCCACATGTCCACCAGGTGTCACTGTGGGCTCTATTTTATTCCACATGGGATATAAGTGCAGTACAGAACAACCAGAAATTGTCTAAGGAGGACATAAACTGTAAATTTATCTTAATTTTATTCCCAGTTATGCTTTTGTTTGAATTGTTTTTTTTAATCTATGATTTTATGGCCATTTATTTTCTATATTTTGATAATTAGCATGAGTTTGTTAGAATGGGAACACTGTAACTTCCATGTTTTATAGATTAATTGAACCTTGACCTAAACCTTGAACAAAATTCTTTCAAGTAAGTGAAATATCTAACTGTTTTTTTTTTTGTTTTGTTTTGTTTTGTTTTTTTAATTTTTGGATGAACAATGGGTACAGGCAAAGGTAAACATAACTGAACAGACAGACAACCTCAGACACACTGAACCTTATCTGTAAATGGGTCTGCCTGAGATCTTATGCATCTGTCAGTGATCGGCTGAAATCTGGGGTGGCCCATGTTACTTGACTGTCTGCTTCATTTGAATTAAGCTGTTCGGTTCATCTCAAACATTAAACATAAATATTAAAGGCAAAAACCCCAGTGTACACCAGTCTAAAAATATCTTTTCTGATTTATGGATGTTTAGAAAAGTACAGGAATATGAGAAATTACAAAAATGTTATAATGATTAAAAAAATAAAATAAAATAAAAACATTCAACAGATACTAAGACACGTTATCACTTAAATTCCAATATGCTGACAGAGAGTCATCAGTCATGACCCAGAAATGTGCTTAACATAACTTCATTTAATGAAAAGGCTGTGCTCTAAACACAAAAAGTTGCTAAACACTACCACAAAAGCGTCTCTTTGGCTCGTAATCATGGGACAACGTGCTCTGAAGCTACATAGCACCCATTTATTAAAGGTGCTATTCAGTGCCTTTGTCGAGAAGTGCTCTGTAGAACCATTAGAGGTGCCATATTGGGCCTTGAGGGCTGCCAGATAATACCATAGATAAGTTAATATGCTTCAGAATGACACTTTTATGATTGTTAACCATTTCTTACAAAGTGCTGGACAGGTTATCATGTCCTCTGTGGGGGGAACTGAAATATTTTGCATGCACATGAGGGCAAAAAGGTTGCAAGCCACTGTTTCAATGTGTTGTCCTCTGGAAATTAACTGTTTTTTAGGCCCATGGTCCCCAACTGGTCCAGCCACAGGGTCCAGATCTCTCCTTAGTCATTAGTTCAATGTCCACACAGTTTGAATATATTCAGCATCATACTTGCATTTGGCCATGTCGTTGAGCTAGTTTGCTGTCTCTGTCAAGTAGCTGTCTGTTAATTGTTCACTCTACAGCAAGACATAGCACTTCAAAATAAAAACTCTGTGCCAGAAATTCACTTAACTTCAAAGTGAAGTGTTATTTTATAAATTTGAAACGTTTGGGAGTCACTTGTGGTTCATTCAGAATGGGCCTGTGACCTACTTTTGAACCAGGACCCACCACTTCGGAACCATTGTTTTAGGCTATTTTAATGTAGTGTGTTTATTCCTTCCCCAGTAAACTAAGCTTAAGAATCATTAGGGAACCCCTAAAGAACCATACAGAGGCTTTAAAGGTTCTCTACTGGTTCCTCAGCTTAGTTAAGTTTAATTTACCGAGGGAAGAACGAGCAGAGAACCTCTAAAGAACCATGCAGGGGCTTGAAGAGGTCTTTGTGTCACAGCAATTCTACATAGCACCTCATCCCACACCAAAAAAGAACGGCTCAGGAACCAACATTATTCTGCGTATGAGACCTTTTCATCTTCACCTCAGTGACCCTTAAGCTGTCATGATGTAACTTATCTATCAGTAATTTACTAAAGTTTATAAAATTCCACAACAAGGTCATAAAATGATTTATTCCAAATATTATTTATTGACAAAGGAGTATGTTGTCAGATGTGGTTATAATGGCAGAGACAATAAATTATCAAACTACAGCACACACAGTACAAAAGTTGTTTCATACAATACAATATAAAATACACATAAATATTAACTTAGTAAAAAAAAAAAAAACAATATCTAAACACAAGTCACAGAACAAAGCGAGTTTGTTAAGGAGAAAAGCTTTGCAGTCAATAAGCAGTTTAAAGAAGAACAGGAAAGAAGTCATTTTCAATATAAAATCAATATTCAGACAATATACATGTTATATACATGCTGGGCTCAACCCAGGTGTCTGGTGTAGAAGTGCTCTGGGAATTGCATTTACACGAGGCACCTGTTTATTGTGTGTAGTGAATATCTCAGAGCTTCCACTTGTCCAAATCTAATCCCATCTATAAGGTAGCAGGGAGCTAGAGGAGTTCAAACTGCAAAAACAAGCAGAATCTGAACCGGCAGGTACGTCTTGTGTTTTGGTCTGGAACTGCCTAAAGCCTCGTAGTAAGCAGACACAGAGAACCTTGCATTAAGACTAATTTAGCCAACATAACCTCATATCTACATGACAAGTCTTTGACACGATCTTTGCCTACATTCCTGTGTGACTAACTGTACTGTGCAAAGTAAATGCTTGTGTTGAGTGGAGTGTTCAAATGGACTAAAAGTGCTACTGACCAAAAGTCTACCACTGTGACGTCTTTGTATAAACCAGCATAAAGCCAGCCAGCCAGAGCAGAGGAACACTGTTATTTCCTGTTTTTCCTGTTAGGTTCACTGCCTAACCTCCAGCTTGGTGGACGCAATATTCCAAAAACTTTGATTGCATGAAAAGATAAAAAATATTATTGTGATCAAGATGGCCCAGAGGGAGGAAAAAGAGTTTGTCCTGTGTTTCTGTCCGTATATACTGTCACATTCAGCACAGTTACGAACAGAAAACTTGAGAGCACGGAGCCACATTGAGCATGAAAACTCAAAACGATGTCTGTTTTGTGCGCCTCTGTCGGAGTGGTGCTTCTGGTTTCAAACCTCCATCAGCTTGGATTTAGATCAACACATAAACAACAGAATCAGAGTCCTGTGGAACTCTCTGTCCATCTCCTAAATGATAAACAAATCTGCTGTTTCACCCACTGTGTATGGTCATACAACATCTTTGCCGTCTGTCTTTCTTTAGACCAGATTGGCCTTAATTTTGCCGCTGATCCAGTCGATGTAATGGGTGACACGGGTGTAGACCCCAGGCTTATCCTTCTGCCCGCACCCATCGCCCCAGCTGATCACACCCATCAGAGTCATCCTGTTATTGTTTCGACAGACGAGCGGGCCACCAGAGTCACCCT